GTCCTTGGTTCCACATGAGATACTTAACAGGGATCCAGGTTCCTGATTTCAGACTGATACAGTGTGGGTGTTGAGCCATTTGGCAAGTGAATCAGCAAATGGAAGATTTCCCTCTCTGCATTTCTCTGCATTTCTCTGTAACTCTGCCTCTCAAATAAACAAATCTTATAAACCTGGTGAAACCTCCAACCCCCAGATGATGTTCACAGACTTTGCCTGTAAACCTACAGGACATCAGGGGTACCTGTAGTTCAATGGCTTGGACTCATTTTGTAAGGCTTCACTACTGAACTTTAGTGAGCCTTCCAGATACCCCTGGGAACTTCATAAAGACCTGTGGTTCTGAGTCCAAGTGTGACCAGCCTTGGGCAGTCTAGAAGTACAGACAGCTGTCTTTGCTATACTTGAATCTGGGGACATACGACTGTGTCTTGGGACTCCTTGCCTGACTCATAGGGTTCAGAACTAAACAGACACCAATGGTTTCTGTCACAGGGAAAATATCGCTAGTCAAAGTTTCTAGACTTGCACTGGTATCAGGTAGAAACTTACACCTTATTGAAACAAAAATCTTTTAGTAAATATCATTATTAGGTTCTCATAGATCTAATATGTATCCCTAGGACTCAACAGGATTTGATGAGTTTAAAGCATAGAAGTGGCCTACCTACATAAACAGTAACAGGGGCAAGGGGCTTCCATCATACCTCCTACAAATTAAGCAAACAGCAAGGAATCACTGGACTGCTAGGGGACTCAGTGCAAGGTGATAAAACACGGTATTTACCAAATTAGAATGATTCCCATTCCTAGGCCAATGCCTGCAGATAGAGCTTCTGGACCTGCTTCACCATCTGGTAAAGTAACATTATCGCTGTTGAGGAGTCTTACATTCTAGTCAACATCACCAGTGGGTGACAGATGCCCCATCGGGTTGTGAGCCCATCCCAATGACAGACTGTAGTAGAACAGAGTTCAGCAAAGGGGTGTGGGTGCTGGCCCCAGAGCACAAATGGTATTGATGCACTGAGAGTACTGGATGTGTTCTAGCAGTGTGGCATTCAGAGACACAAGAAAAGTGGTCTTCTCTTACTCCAAGCCTAAGAGAAAGGTTTTAGGGAGGACAGAATATCCCTTTTTTAGATACAATTGGACAATACATCAACTAAAACTATGGGGCAAATTTTTAGTTCGGACAATATTACAAAGTTTAATTAGTAAAAACATGCCAGCAATGTCAGGACTCACTTAACCAGCAGAATGATGGACTCGTGTCTGCTTATGAAGGACTATATGTAAAGTTGGAGTTCATGTTCAGAACCAGAAATCCACACAGAATACATCTCAGCTTAAAACAAGTTGTACTGGGAACACTCCTGGGCAAGGTCCACTGGTCCAGTACAGACAGTGGGCCAGAAAAGTCACACTCAGGGCTCATGAAGGGGTACTTTTATTAGGGGGCTGTGGAGATAGTATTTGGGGGACAAAGGAATGTGCCTTTTAGTGCGTCATAGGTTCCCTTTGACCATGGTGGATTCCTATGTCACTGCTATCTGAGGAGGAACCTGACTTATCAGCCACCCTTCTCAGCCTCCTTCTAGGCCACACCTCAATCACGCCGGCTGGGCCTTACACTATTGCATTGTAATAATATGGCAGAAATAAGGTGGGGGAGGCAATTTGGAGAGGAGGTAATGGAAATACCAGAGCCTATGGAACTGGATCATGAAATTAAAAATAAAATAGAAGGAGGGGGTAGAATTTTAGTTGGAGCAAATTATCCCCATAATCTCAAAGAAAATAAGTCAACTACTTAGAATTTCTAGAAGACAGCTAGAAATGAAGCTGAATTATCATAATTACTCCATTATTGCACAGAAATGTCATACGCCAACACTCATTCATAAGTTCCAGGGAGCCAGGATGCCACCTAAAGAACAAAAGGAGGTGTCAGGAATCGATCTCAGACCTGGAAATGTCAAATACACAGACGCAGATTGTAAAATATCTGCTGTGAATAAACTCAACAAATTCTAGGGAATGAAGAACTGCTTCAGTATTCTAACAGAGATTTGATAGAAGGATGGAAGTGATTAAATAAAATCAAGCAGAAATCCTTGAAAGTTATAGCAAGTAAAATTAAAAGGGAAATAGACTACATCAGAAAATAAGATTGAGTGAGATCAAAGTAAAAACAAAAAACAAAAAACCAGTCCGCAAATATTGTCAGTGGCTCAAATATTGTCCCTGTGATTGATGAGACCCTGCCATTGTGGACCCCATGCCACTTTGGACACCTTCTTCCCCTTCCTGTGGCTCACAAACTTTGAACCATCCCTGTTGCTCACCAACCCACTGTAATCTCAAAAGCCTGCCCCTCCCCCAGCAATTTGCTATAACCTGACAAGCCCACCCACCAGTCCCTTGCAGCCCCTTTCCCTAATCCCTCCCCACCTACCAATCCCCTGCAGCTTCAACAATCTTAGGGACCAATCCCTTAGGCCCCACCCACAGCCCCCATTGACCATTCCCTCAGAACCAGGTGGAATGCTCCAACATTCACCTGGAGGGCAGAAAATGGGCCGCAACCTGTGCCTTCACCCCTTTCTCCCTCTGCCTCTGCTCCAATCCCATGACCACTAGCCTGCTGGAATAAAGGACTTCCTTTGTCTGGAGTTTCAGCTTGTTGCAGTAAACTTATCCTGAAGAAAGCTTAGTTATCATGAAAACACCAATAACATGAAAACAATAAATACCAGAGTTAATGAGTTGTAATGAGGAGCTGAGAATGCCTTAAGAGGTAGAATTCACTCTGAAGTTCTAGAAAACACTTGTTGTGGTACAGAAATGCCAGAGGTTACTAGTGAGAGAAAATCCAACTAAGCCTATCCCAAGATGAATAGTCAAGCTCTCCAAAGCAATAAAGGAAAGACTCACCATTGCAACAGAAATGAGGCAGATAGCAAATGAAAGCGTCCCAAGTCATGTGACTCCAGAATGGTCAGAAAAAACCCTTACAAGTCAAGGAATAGGCTAAGATCGTTACAGTACTGAAGGGAAAATGCCAGATAAGATTACTGTATCATGCAAAAAAAAAAAAAAATTCTTCAGACATCACTGAAAAATAAAGACGATAAAGACAATCCAGTGAAAACATAACTCTGGAAAATTTATCACCACCAAGCCTGTCTTACAGAAAATGTTAGGCTGGGCATGATAGCCTAGTGGCTAAAGTCCTACTGTCTGGGCAAGAGTCCATGTCCCACGGGCCCAACTTTCCGTACATTTCCTTGCTTGTGGCAGCTGAGGACAGCCCAAATCCCTGGGACCCTGCACCTGCTTGAGATCGACTTAAGATTGACTCAGATCAGGCCATTGTGTCCACTTGGGGAATGAACCAATGGACGGAAGATTATTCTTTCTGTCTCTCTTCCTCTATGTGTATCTGACTTTCCAATTAAAAATTATTAAATCTTTAAAAAAAATAATGCTAGAGAAATTGCTGCAAATTGAAAGAAACCCTAACAAACAAGAACAAAATATCAGAAGGAAGAAATTCAGTGGAGTTACTACAAAATGAATTCCGAACTCAGTAACATTGTATACTTGCATGCAGATCATTCATATCTTTACAGTGAAGACTAAAAGATTGTAATTGCTGCATTAAAATGCATTAACAGACCAGTAGCAAGGAAAGTCTAATTTAAGAGCAAAAGCTCACAATGAGGCACAAATGTAGAGTTTTGGGTGGAGATCCTTTAGCCATCTGTTTTTGTTTGTCTTTTTCTCTTTATAATAGTGGCTCAGATGCTATTCTTTTAAGATAGCTTGTTAGCGAAAAGAAGTTTTTAAGCCTCATGGCAATCACAAAGCAAGAACTTGTAACAAAACTATAAAAAATAATAAGCAAGGAATCAAGCTATACCACTAAAGAAAATCACTTGAGCAAGAGGAGAAAAAAAAAGAGTGTAAAGATGGGGAGAAATGAAAGTATAAAACAAATTTCAAAATGGCAGTAGCAATATTTTATCTATCAAATATGTATGCTAAATGTCAATAAATGTAGTGTGTACTCAGGGCATAGTATCACTCCACCATCACACTGATAAATCCTAGCCCACTGTAACATCTTGGACAAACAGAAAGTCGTTAAGTGTAATAAACAAAGCACATCGGCAAATAAGTTGTGTCTTCACTCACAGAGGGAGTGTGAAAGTTAGGTGGCCTTACAGAATCTCAAAGTGGATAAAAATATAATGCAGGCTCCTGGAGGCTGAAGAGGGAAGTAAGGAGGAAGGAATAGAGAAGGGTTGATTGACAAATACTAGATTACAGCTAAACACAAGTAAGACATTCCGAGGTTCTATTACACGGTAGGATGACTAAAGATAATGTACTATATATTTCTCTCTTTTGAAAAAAAAACCTGGAAGAGGATTTTGGGTGCCTTCCACTATAATGAAATGTTACATGCCTGAAAGGACAGATATATTAAACCAAATTGAGTATCTCATGATGTACAAATGTAAGAAAATATCACATAATAACCCATAAATATGAACAGTTTTTTGCCTGTATAATTATTCTTTTTCATTTTTGAAAGAGAAGAAAAATCAGACGCAAACATGAAACCTTTAATATATATATATTTTCTGTTGTTGTGTGCTTCAACAATATTTTAGTGAAAGTTATTTTAGATGTTGAACTGCAGTCACCAGCAACCAACAACAGCAATAATAATAAAACCTGACAGCTGACAGTAAGAAATCTTTCTTAAAATAAATCCTATGCCCTGTGGGATCCTTAGTAGGATTTCAAGGTATGTTAGAAAATGAAAAGATAATGGAGTATCAGGGTAATTAATATTAAAATGGACTATCTCGCTCTTGATCAGTGGTGTCTACTCCACTCACTCTTGTGACCACAGGTCAAAAGTGTTGAAGTCCGAAGCATCTCTTCCTGAGCAATTTGCCATTCTGAGCTCTGGAGCACATCCCATCTCAGCGTTTCTATGGGGCATCAGCACACATTCCTTGCTTTCTCTTACAAACTGGACAACAGGCTCCTTTCACCAGCTCTGGATTGGGGCACTGAGCTGGGGGACACATTTGCACCACACGTGTCACTTGGCTACTCTGAAAAGCCAAATTAAAATATCATTCCCATGTTTCTCATAGTAAAATCAATAAAGTGACAGGCTTTCCATTCTATCTAATATGATAGGGTGATCACCGCAATATAGCTTTAAAAATGTCCCCAGTACAGCCAACACATTCAGGTGTTTTCTGTTGCTTCTTTCAGAGTCTGCCTATTTGTAGCAGAAACCTGGAAGAGCCATACGAAGAAGTACCACTCAATAAAACATAATCTGTAGCTATACAACCTATAGTAAACCTCAGGAGCTTCGTGATTTCCAGAACCCTAGGGAGAACCAGCTCTGTTCAAAAAGAAGCTTCCCATAAGCAATACTGAGCAGTTTTATTTCGGTGGATCCAATAACACTTGGTTATATTTCTGCAGAATTCTGCATTTTGCCAAGTGCGATTGGCCAACATGTGGAGTGAGCCTGACTGCAGAAAATGGCAATGAACTCAAGCCCTGGTCTGCTTCAGTTTACTTCTGTGATGTATAGCAACTTCCTCTCCCTTCCTCCCTCCCTTTTTTCTCCTCCTTTCAAAGAACAATTTTAAAAATTCTCGGAATCTATTTTGAAAAGGATACTTTTTTTCCCCTCTTTAATATTTCAGATGTGTTTCCTCTAAATGACTAGCAAGAGGAGCATAAAAAGAGAAGGATGCTGAGGCACCTGGCCTCACATACCTCACAGGCGCAGCTAATGCAGTCTTCTCTCTTCCAGCGTTCTTGGTCCTTCCTTTGAATCCCTTTATTGTCTATACATCCTACCAGCCTCAGGCGCACCTCCAGCTTGTTTACCTGAAAGAAAGGGGGAAAAAGAAAAGTGGAAATTGAAACAGGTAGCACAAAACCTGATAAATAAGGTGGTTTGATGAAACATTCTATTCTGTACGCACAGACCTCAAAGGCAAAGAAACTTCAAGGCCTGCATCATTTTCCTTAACATTTTCCCCCAAAATACTATGAATCAGAATCATCTAATGCTTAAACCAGTAATTATTTAAGTATGGTAAAATATTGACTGTGTACATCGCATCTGAAGGAATACATTTCTAAGGAAAGGAGAAGTGAAGCCAAAAAATCGACACTGCATATTTAGAAAATGATTTCAATAAACATATCTAAACATTAATTCTGCTAATGGATACTGTTATTTTTTTCTGTTTCTTGAGTTATCATCACTGACATGCTTCATGTAGCAAACATGAGGTTGGAGGGCTGGCATTCTGCAGCAGGTGAAGCCTCAGTCTATGAAGCTAACATCCCCTGTAGGCACCAGTTTGCGTTCTGGGCTGCTCCACTTTTGATCCAGAAAGTAGGTCCCTGCCATCGTCTTCTTATTGTAACTACTGCCTTCCAAATAAATAAGTAAAACTGTAAAACAGACAAATATTGAGTTGAAAAATTGAGGAACTCTGTTGTGGTGTAGTGGGTAAAATTTGCAATACCAGTATCCTATTCAGGCGACAGAATCCCAGCTGCTCCACTTCTAATCCAGATCCCTGGTAATGAACTTGGGAAAGGAGCAGAAGAAAGCCTGAGTATGCTCCCATCATCCACAAGGGAGACATAGCTGATGCTCCTGGCTCCTAACTTTGATCTGATCCAGCTTTGATCGTAGCATCCATTTTTGAAGGGAACCAATAGATAGAAGCTCACTCTCCTTTCTCTCTCCCCGCTCTCTTTCTCTATCTCTCAATAAGTAAAGTAATTTTTATTATATTTTTAAGAACAAATGACAAGTAACCTGGGGCCAGGGTTTCAAAGAGCTTGCTATTTGATAGGGAAAAAAATGTCATAGCAATAAAACAAGCTTGTTCTGAAACCAAAGGAATAGACAATAAGTTATATCCAATTCTGCTCAGGGAGTAAAGGAGACTTCCTTTACGACAGAGAACTGTCTCTTCCAATGTGAAGGCTGAGTGTGACTGTGCTTGGCAATACAACCTTTATGGAGTTAATTAAGGTTAAACAAAGGCCTAACCATGGGACTATTGTTCAATATCACTAGTATCATCACCAGAAGAGAAAGTGACACCAAGAATGGACATAGAAGAAATCCCAGGTGAGAGCACAAGGAGGAGACACCTGCCAGCCAGGCAGAGCAGCCTGGGAGGCCACAACTCTGCCAAAGCCTTGAGCATGCGCTTCCAGCCTCCAGAACTGTGAGAAAACAGATGACTATTGTTTAAGCCACGATTCACACCCTGCCTGAGCAGACTGACACGCTTAACATGAGAAAAAATCACTTCTGTCATGAAACATGATTAAGTCTTTCAGGAGAACAAGGAGAAAAACGAACATTTCAGGAAACTGGGAAAATGTATGTGTCCAAGCAGGGAACCACAGCAGGTAACAATGGACACAGAGAGATGGTAGGGAAACTGAAGGAGTGGGCAGCAGATGAAAGCAGGGTCTTATAGTTCATATAAATGAATTTAATGCAGTCTCTATGGTAAGGGACCAACATCATCGGTGATCACTGTATATGAAGGATCTGTCAGTGTTAGTTGGGAATGAAAGCCAAGGAACTGGAAGTGAGAACCCAGGGAAGGAGGGAGTTGTTAGAGCCATTTTATCAGCACATAAAAGTATTGGCTGGATGTGGTTGAAGAAAAAAAGAACACAGATGGCTGCAAAGTTCTTGTTTCCATTAAGTTCAAAAATCGCAGTGACTTCATCAAAGTGCTTTCTAGAGCATATAGTGAAAAACAGAAATAATATGTTAAGAGAGGCCAGTCTTATGCCACAGTAAGTTATGCTGTCTCCTCTGATGCCAACACTCCATGCTGGAGGGCTAGTTTGAGGGACACTGCTGCTGTGCTGATCCAAGCCTGGTGAATGCAGCAGAAGGTGACTCATAGAAAAGCAGCACACAAGATGGCTCAGGTGCCTGGATGCTCACCTCTGTGCAAAAGACCTAGTGGCTAAGGTCCTCGCCTTGAACACGCCAGGATCCCATATGGGCGCTGGTTCTAGTGCCGACAGCTCCACTTCCCATCCAGCTCCCTGCTTGTGGCCTGGGAAAGCAGTCGAGGACAGCCCAAAGCCTTGGGACCCTGCACCCGTGTGGGAGACCCAGAAGAAGTTCCTGGATCCTGGCTTTGGATCGGAATAGCATCGGCTGTTGTGCTCAATTGGGGAGTGAACCATCGGATGGAAGATATTCCTCTCTGTCTCTCCTCGTCTCTGTATATCTGACTTTCCAATAAATAAATAAATCTTTTTTAAAAAAGTCTTTTCTATAACTTCTATTTGGCCTGGATCTGTCTAATGTAAGCACTTTGGGGGTGAACAAGTAGATAAAATACTTCTGCCTCTCTGTCACTCTGCCTTTCAAATAAATGGATAAATAAATGAATATAAATCAATCTTATTAAAAGTAAATTTTCTACTTAATAGTCTGCCTCTTCCTTAATCCTCTTGCTAGAGGAAACTAACTTTTTTGTTGAAACTTTTTTTTCATTTTCCATTCCCTCATCTCCAAAGGTGGAAAAATGACATGAGCAAAAATTATCCAGAAAGACGACAATGTTCTCTGGTCAGTCTGTTTCCATCTGTCCCCCAAGCTTAGTCATCATGTGTGTACATGTGTGTGTGAGTGGATGCACACACACACACACACGCATGCATGTGTTTCTTTCAATCCACGTTATCCAGGGAATTAGCTGTACATATGATAAAAAACAATCACAAGTACATCAAGACTATCTTTCCAGGAATAGAGGCCTCATCTTATACAATGTCATATAAAATTTTGGCCTGATTTATTCAACAGTTCTCTGTAATGTATTAGCTTCTCTAAAATGTATTAGCTAGACTGGCAAGTTTAGTAGCTTCATTAAAAGGCGCATTCTGCTGAACCTTCTCCAAGAAAGCTATTGTGTCAGAGGCAACATAAGAAATAATATCATTCTCGTCTGATCTGTATTGGATCCTTCTCTCCACGGTTACTGTTCTGTATTGAGTTATATCCCATCCTAATCCAAAATACTTGGCTCTTCAAGTTCAAACTATGTATCAGAGAATACAGCTACAAATAGACATTGCAGAGATATTCAGTCAAGATGAAGTCACACTCAAGTAGAATGTCTTCATGAAAAGAGAATTTGAACACAGATCTATATGCACCCAGGGAAGAGGCCACGAGAAGATAAAGTGGAGACCACCAAAGCTCACCAAAGGCCACCAATGAAACAGCAGAAGTAAGAGAGAGCTATTAATTTATCCTTCCCCTCCATCACCGGAAGGAACAAAGCCTGTTGATACCATGACTCAACTCTTCTAGCCAGTTCTGTTCTTCAAGCTGCCCTGCCTTGGCATTCTGGCAGAGGCACTTCAGGTGTGTCCTTGAAGTTTTTGTTTTGTTTTATTTTGCTTTGTCTTGCTTAATATAAAGCAATTGCAGCAGTTGGCACATCATTGGCATGTTAAGTAGAAGTTGATTTGGATATTTGTATAGGACACTGAAGGAACTAGGCTCCAGCGCTGGTCCCACTCCTGATTCCAGCTCCCCATCAATGCAGACCCTGTGAGGGTCCCACATGGGAGACACAAACTGCATTTTTGGATCCTGTCTTTGTGTTTGTTTAACCCCAGTCACTACGATCATTTGGGTATGAACCAAGAAATGAGAGATTTTGTCTCTTTTCTCCTTCTGTGTGTGTGTTTATATGTGCATGCCTCAAATAAAATAAATCTTAAAATGCATTTTCAAAGTGGTTGTGGAGATCCACTTAAGAAAATCTAGCCATTAAAACTACCTTAGAACTCCAGTCAGGAAGGTGAATTACCAAACAGCTTATAATTTTTATCAGATTGACCCAGGGAGACACCTTGCCATTTAAAAATGCTATTTAAAATTATGGAAATATGTTTAGAGGATACAGTCTACAATCCAGTCATCATATTGTATTAAGTTTTTACTGACGTGATTTTAAAAACTAAGGTCAGTCTATGAAGTGGTCATTTGCTTCAGAGGTCCACTCAATTTTATTAGCAAAGTTTTTACACAGCTACCTCACTTTAGATAGCTTGCATTTTTTGCTTTTATACAATGTGTAACTTTCTTCATTAACCACCTGCCCCCAGACCTCTTGCTCTGGAATAAGACGCCTCTCTCTTGAAGGTGTAAGTTTTCAATATCTGGAGATAGCTCATGCAAGGCAACGACTCACAAGTGGAAACAATGTTAGTTATAACCACTATAAATTATATATATATATATGAAACTATTAAAAAAAAAAAAAGTCCTGACATCACCTACTTCTTTCTACCACAAGAGAAGCATATTCCAGAAAAGGTTGCTCTTTACTCTGGTTCTGAGCATTTAAAAACTATGGAAACACAGTTTGAGCTCCAAGGAATAGGAAACATGATTGAGAAATTAATTCTTACTGCTACAGACCCCGCAATTAGACATTACTACTGTAACACATTTTATCAAGCTCTATCTAATTAAGGATTAACCTTGGCTAGGTCACTCTATAAAACACCATTGAAAGGGGAAAAACTGATCATAATTACAAAAACGACCAGGCTGCTTTCTGCGGTTTTGGCCCAGATAACATCCTGTAAGTTTCTGCCTTGGTATCTGTGTGGAAGCAATTTCAGAGAAACTGAAGGAAGTTCCCTATTGACTCATTCATGTTGCTGAGAAAATGCAAACATATAATGGAAAGGTAAGCTTGAATTGTAAAGTCAATTCAATGGAAGAAATTATATGATTCAATGTAAGAAAACTCAATACTCGGGCCCGGCGTGGTGGCGCAGTGGTTAAAATCGCCTTGTACACCCTG